GAGAGAGAGAGAGAGAGAGAGAGAGAGAGAGAGAGAGAGAGAGCTTCAATAGCACAAGCTGCACAAGATGCTTCTCTACTCCTCAATCATTCTCCTGCTTCGCTTTGTGGGATTGCCTTGCACCCCTGAATAGATTCCGTAACGCAAGGACTTCATCAGGTAGTACCTTCCACAGACAGGAGAGCATGGAGCGTGAGAAGAGTGATCCACAACATGCCAAAATGGGGAAACTCCACTGCTCAGAGCCTCGAACAAAAGTAAAAGAACGATGCTCACTCCGCACAAATGTCTTGCCGCTTCGAAATATCAGGCACCATCCACCATAGCCAAGAGGAAAGCAAGCAGGTGATGGCTGGTAATGCCAGGCACCATCCACCATGGCCAAGCTGAAAGCGCCATCCTCCATAGCGGGACCCCAAATGGTTGGCAGCAGTATGGCCCACTTTTCTTTCTAGAACATTGTAAAATAGGAAATTGGCTATGGTCTTTTTCTGGGATGCAGTTGAGCAGATGGAGGCATTAGAACAAGCAGCATTTGAGAAAATGACGCAATTTAAAGCAAGCATTTGAGCCAATACCACTTTCAGAGATATGGGCACAAAGTGCCACAAACAAAGTTAAGATAAAGACATCATAAAAGCTTTCACACAAGAAAGTTCTTCTCAACATGGTTCGGTGGGGGGAGGGGAGGGGGAGGGGGAGAGGGAGGGGAAAGCACCTACTTTTCCTAGTTGACGAAATTCCTTTTGAAGAAAGCTCATCCTTTCCACTGCCCGATTGACCTCCTGGAACTGGGGTCGGCAAAGACGAGTGCCCGCCAGATCCAGACCCATGCCTGCGGAAAATATTCATTGGGCTCTGCCAGCCCTGTAAGCTCTGTCAGAATTTTCAGAGCAGAGGAGACCAGCACATTCAACACTGAGTTGATCTTCTTCGGTTTTTTTTTTTTTTTTTTTTTTTTTTTAACAACGTTACAATTTACAAGGCTATATTTTTCTCTCAGTTTCGCTTTTCGCTACCTACCTACCACTTCTCCTAAGCCTATAAATGGACCCCTGCAAGCATAGCTACCGCTCACAATTAAGGGGATGCATGTTGCCCCCCGGCCCTAATCGGCGGTGGTCAGGGAGTAGGGTGGGGCCGCCAGCCGAGGGGGCTAGCTAATGCAAAGACCGAGCATTTTGCGAGTAGCTGCGCCTCCCATCTACATCTCCCACCCCCATCCAGTAACAGCAGTGCCTGTGGCCAGCAGTCTCCCACATGCAACGCAACCCCCCCTCCCCCCTCCCAAACACACACCCATGATGGCCAAAGACCCTGCCAATAGGCCCAATACCAACAGGGGGAGCAAGCCAGCTATTTCAATTGGTTGGCACCAAGAGTGCCGGAGGCGGTCGATGGGGATTGAACTCAAGACCTCCTGAATGCCACTTGCATGCCTGACCAACTGAGCTAGGCCACTTGCTCAGTTAATCAAATTCAAAAGGACGGATTGAAAAAAAAAAAAAAAAGCCAAAAGGTTAAAAGAGTACAAGTTCCAAAAAAAAAAAAAAAAAAAAAAAAAAAAAGAGTACAAGTAATAAAAAATGTTTAGAGGAAAAACAAATAAAGAAAGGAAAATGTTTAGAGGAAAAACAAATAAAGAAAGGAAAATGTTTAGAGGAAAAACAATAACCTGCAGGCTTAAATAAGTAAAGTCGACAAAATACTGGAATTTTATTTTATAATTTATATTTTATTTTCCCCCCTCAAAAATTCAAAATTAATTTCATTCCAAAAATGCTAGAATTTCACAGGGGAGAGGAAGTTCTTTTAAACCACCAGTAAACTTGTCTTTTCTTTTTTCTTTTTTTTTTCCCCTTTTTTTAAACAAAAATATAACTCTCATATTCATATAGCCGGGAAACAGGCCCGAAGTCCCTTACATCGTCCACTGCGGCCAAACGGGCTAAGCAACGCACTCCCAGCCAGACCTATCCCTACCCCAGCCCAAGACAGAATTACAACTACCAATCCCAATCACAACCCTAAAACGAAACACACCACCACTAATTAAAAAGAAGTCAAATCCTAATCTACGCCTTCGCCAAACCTCCGTCATTAAACAACCCTAACTTCCCTAAGCACAAAAGCATGGGTTTTTTATCCCCCTGTGGGTAGTTGGGATTTGGCAAAATCCCAACGGGGTAACACGCAGCCAACCAAAAACACAAAAGCAAGATACTCCATGGTCTCGTCCCACCTACCCACAGACAAAATTCACAAGTAATTTGCAAAATTCCAACTCTATACCCTAAGTACCTCTAAACAGTAATCCCCAACTAAAAACCAAATCAGCAAGGCTTCACTAATCGTCCCCAGCTTAAAAACAAATATGTTGCTTGTATACCAGCGCGTTTGTAGGGGGTCGCTGAAACAAACGCTCGGTCACTGTAAACTTTAAACCACCAGTACTTGGCCCAGCTATCGTTGCCGAGCCTGGAATCCCCCTGCGCGCCAATTTTTGCCGAAGCGCCAGGGTACCGTTTCAATTTTTTTTGGCTGGTGTTTCCATCCATTGAGGTCAGGTACCCCGAAGCCCGAACTTTGCGTAGCGTTAACGGCAACGGCCCGCAGCCGATGTATGGGCCAAGTACTGGTGGTTGAAAGAAAGAAAAAAAAGAGAAAAAAACAAAATAACAAAATAACAAAAGATATTGACTGAGGACGCCGCCCAGCCGGGCCTGCCTGGCCGTTTGGGCCCGGGGGGCCCGGGGGGCCCGCACGGGTAAACCGGTTGGGCCAGAGAACCGGCCATAATTTTTTTTTTTTTTTTTTTTGAAACCAGGGTCGTTCTGCGCTCGGCGAGAGGACCCCGAATCTGCAATAAAATTTTGGTTTTTTTTGG